CCTCCGGGCCACGAGGCCGCCCCCCTATCCCTTCGGAGGCCGGCGAGGGGCGCCTCTGGCTTGGCGGACACGCACGCACGGCTTTTTCTGCGGGGGTGCGTGGGTGGGGTACCCCCGCTTGATCTCCGAGGGTATCTTTCCCCGGTAATAGTGCTCCTCCGGCGGTGCATCAGAGTAGAGGTTCACTTGCAGGCTTACCTTTGCTGATTTACCACTTGTGCGGGGTTGGCTTCCCCCCCCCCTCTCTGATTCGGGGCCTGCTCCCAGCTTTCTCCCTCAAGGACTGCATGGCTACTCTTTCCAGGAAATCTTGTTGGGGCTGCTCTCCATGGGGATTCCTCGGGCCATGCTTTGCGATTCCTCCTTCCACCCTTTTTAAAAGTTACCATGCTGGACAAAAAATAATAATAATAACAGAGCAAGGGTCCAGATAGAGCCCTCAAAGATCGATCGATCGATCTATCTATCTATCTATCTATCTATCTATCTATCTATCTATCTATCTATCTATCTATCTATCTATCTATCTATCTATCTTTCTTTCTTTCTTTCTTTCTTTGAGGGCTCTAGACACACACACACACGCATATCCTTAGTACCCATTAAATATTAGCCAAGGGTTCTTAACCCAATACCCTAAAATGTTACAATAACTGTGTTGTCTCTTCTATAATTTCCCAACAATTTCCCATGCTTCTCTCTGGAACTCATGCTTTTCTCCTGTTGGTGGAGAAAATGGACTCACCAGTTTCATCTTCTCAGCCTTCCAGGACAACGAGAATGAAGTCATGCTGGACCTTTTGGTGAAGGAAGAAGACACAGATGATGCCGGTATGTTCCTGTTCTTCTGCTGCCTTCCCTGAAGCATGGATATGGAACTAATGTGGAACGGTCTTCTTTCCGTAGGGGACGGGAGCTGTGCCGGACCAGCCACAGATCCTGCAACACCCAGAACTTTGGAAGCCCAGCCAGCTTCTGGTGAGTCTCTTCTTGCCAGTTTGTCCTTCGTTTCTGGCAGGCGCTTTTTCTCTACTCCTGCCAGGGTACACGGCGAATTCAGTCCGGGGCAGAAGGGGTTGGCCTCTCCTCTAGAAGTGGCTGTTCCTGCGTAGGGCCTTCCAGACTTCTGTTACTTGAGCAGAGAGATATACCTTTGAGTGTGAGAGGCAAACTGGCCAGCAAAAGGCTTTGACTGCATTGATCTAGCTGGATATAATTTGCACAATCTGAAAATGAAAAGACAAAGGGTGTGTGTGTGTGTGTGTATGAGAGAGAGAGAGAGAGAGAGAGAGAGAGAGAGAAGGGGGAGATAAAATACATACATATGCTTAGCACCCATCACAATGGATTAAATATTAGCCAAGAATTCTTAAGAACAACATCATCATCCTCACAGTGTGACATTAAGTCAGTTCTGACTTATGGCAACTCTTTTCAGGGTTTTCCAGGTAGCCAGAGGCCTAAACCCCTGAGCTATCCAGCCAGCTCTTAATCCTTTACCAAATGTAGAGAGGTCTAAACCCCTGAGCTATCCAGCCAGCTCTTTACCAAATGTACAAAATAAAATAAAATTACATGTCTCAACCCATTACCAAATACAATTTTTCTCTCTACAATAATATTTTTAAAGCAATTCTAGAATAATTAGGTTTCATCTGCTGGACTTTCCCCATAACCCATGTTTCTTTCTAAGAAACCACAGACACCTTAACAAACAGCTTCAAAGACCGCCAAAAACTCATCCCCGTATGTTTCTGCCCTGTTATCTATATAGCCTGGGTTGAACGAAACCACTAACCATTTATTTTATTATTGTATTTGTAGGCCAGCTTTCTCCCATTCAGGGGACCCAAGGTGGCTCACAGTCGATATATATTGAAATCCCAATTAAGTTAAACATTACACAACAGTTAAACTATACGCCAATTAAAATAATTGAATAATTAGTTTCCAACACAATGCTTCAAATAAAGGAAAGAATGGAATATCAAACAGACGTCACTGCCAGGTGTGAAGCAACTCTCACAATCCACAACTTCTGTCTACTAACCCAAACCGTCAATTTATTTTGTGATGATTTTAAATGTGTAAATAGGGACGTGGTGGCGCTGTGGGCTAAACCGCAGAAGCCTGTGCTGCAGGGTCAGAAGACCAAGCAGTCGTAAGCTCGAATCCACGCGACGGAGTGAGTGCCTGCCGCTTGTCCCAGCTCCCGCCAACCTAGCGGTTCGAAAGCGTGCAAATGCGAGTAGATAAATAGGGACCACCTTGGTGGGAAGGTAAACAGCATTCCGTGTCTAAGTCACACTGGCCATGTGACTACGGAAGATTGTCTTCGGACAAAACGCTGGCTCTATGGCTTGGAAACGGGGATGAGCATCGCCCCCTAGAGTCGAACACGACTGGACAAAAATTGTCAAGGGGAACCTTTACCTTTACCTTTTACCTAAATGTGTAAATATCTGCCACGTACTCTCACACTTTTGTCTGAGGAAGGCTCACGTTAAAAGGTGAAAAGCAGGTCTTTAAGGTACCATTGTCTTCTCCAACAACGTTTTCTTGTTGCGACTGTTTTGTCTCTGGAAAAACGAACTGATGTGAAACCAACTGATCCATGTTTCTTTTTTTTTTTCCCTATGCCACGGAATGCGCAGACCCGGAGGCGGGCCACCCTGCCACGGCCGCCACCCTCCCACCGCCGGCCCGGCTCGCATGGCTCCGAAGGAGGAAGACCAAATCGGCCAAGGTGGAGTCCTTGCTTCTGCAGATGCTCCACCAGGACGCAGAAGAATCCCGGGAGACGCGGGAGGCGGTGGAGCGCGGCTGGGCCCGCCTGGAGGCCTGGGCCAGGGCCGAGCAGGAGAGCCGGGCCAGGGACGCCGAGCGGGAGCAGCAACACCGGCAGGAGGTCTTGAACTGCATGCGGCAGACAAACGCCTTGATCCGGAGCTTCATGGGAGACACGTCGCTGCTCCTGCGTCGGATTTTGGAGGCTCCCCGAATGGAGGACGGAGGCAGGGAAGGGGCTGCGGAGGGGTCCGTGGATGGCACGGGCAGAACGGCAGCAGGGAGCAGGCTGGCTGGCCACCGGCAGGCAAAGCGGAAGGCTGGCTCTGTCGACGACGATGACGCTGCCACCAGCCAGAGCCCAGCGGGCTCCACAACCCCCTAGCTCTGGGCGGGGGGAAAGGGGGGTGTCCGAATCTTTAAAAAGGGGTCCATAGATACCTGGGAGGAGGGCCCTGTGGCAGAGGGAGGGGGAGAAAGGCAATATCATACGTACGATAGTACTTACTGTTCTTTCCCCCTCTCTTTCCTGGGTTAGGGGCCGTTGTTTGTTTGCTGTTGATCCGTTCGGTTGGCTGCTGAAATAGGCATACGGCCAAGGAAAGCGTAGTCATAGAAGGTTAACGTCATGGCAAAGCTGGAGGAAGAGGAACCAGGTGTGGCCAGAGAAAAGAGTTCTGCTTGTGGCAAACGCAGGCCCTGCAGGAGTGTGTGGATCAGCCTCCCAAGCTGTACTCCCCGTCCTGGATTGCTTGTTGTCGTTGTTTTTAGACCTTCCAGAAAAACTCTTGATGGGCTCTTTCCCCCTCATCTTTGGTCTTCCTCTTTCCCAGCATTATGGTCTAGGAACAATAGCAGAAAAATATTCCTGTTGCTAAGTCAGTCTCCCAGGCATCTGCAAGACAGTAAACTGTTTGTGAGTGTGTGTGTGTGTGTGTGTGTGTGTGTGTTGTCAAGATCACGCATGGGCTGAGTCGAAGGTAATTTCAGCAGATGATTGCAGATTACTGGGGGGGAGGGGTTCCTGTAAACCAGCTGGAGGACAGAGTTGTGATTTGAATTGGCGGATCCTGGGTTCGGATCCTAGCTGGTCTGGTGATGAAACAAGACTAACACCTGTGTTCTTGAACCCCCTTCCCTGTAACTCACAATCAGCTGCAAGGCTACTGCCAGGACGGTTATGGGACTCTTAAGAGTTCTAATCCCCAGAAGGAAAAAGAGAGAGAAAAAGGGGGGGGCACCCTACAACCAAGTTACCTTCTGTATCTCCAGTTGTTGGTGTAACCTTGCAATGTTCAGTTTCAAGGCCTCCATCTCCTTCAGCTCTTTCAGGCTGGAGTAAACAAGCAGGGGGGGCGGCCCGACAGTTGTGGCATCCCAACACCGTTGCTTTCCAAGGGAGGCGCAACACCCAGAGGAACATTTCTCACCACAAGCAGTGCCGGCAGGAAGCAGCTTGGAATGGGACTCCATGGCTTGGAAGAGAGAGAGAGAGAAATGCAGGATTAGCAAAGCACAGAGAAGCAGTTGTGTTTAGCTAAGAGGACAGGTGGGAACTCTTGACCACTGATCGCAAGGGTCTTCCCCACGAGAAGCTTGTGGTCATGGGGGGGGGTGTTTCCTGGAATGGGGCTGCCTGCGTAGCTCCTCCCCTTTTTTGCAAAGCTCCCACCCCCAACATGGAACTTGACCTAAGTTTTTTGCTTACCGTTTTTTAGTGTGGTATTAGTTTAATCTTTTTTTAGTATTTGCAGACTTACTGTTTTTAGCTTTCGATATTGTCTTTTAACTATGTAAGAAACCTTGTTTCCTTTTTTTAATAAGGAGAAAGGCAGGGTAAAAAATATTTTAAATAAATAAATAAAATGATTGGTGTGTACTCCCCCAATTTTCACTGCGGAATAACGGACGCCGCCCTTCTGAAGGGCTGCATTAAATACTCGGTCTAAAACGGGACGAGGTGGCTCGCTCAAAGCCGAACCGTGTGTGGTTGCTGGGATTTGATCCGAACCTCAGTGCACCAAAAGTGGCTCAAACAACAAGTTTTATGCCCATCTTATCCAATAAAGCGCTAGTGGCGATTCTTCTATTCTTCTTGGAGCAACACAAAATTAAATTGCGCGGGTGCTGGAAACATGTTCAAGATCTCGCTTTGCAAAGATACCCGAGTATAAGACGGGGTCCTTGCACGGATGAAAAAAAAGAGGACCGGCCGGGGGGGGGAGGGGGAGATGTTAGCCATGCACCAGGCCTGTATTTTGGTGCATCTCTCCAAAACCGCCACTATCCTCCCCCCTCACCCAGAGCCACAGGCCTGAGACCAGATCTTGTTCCTCCTTGACCCACCGCCCTGCCCTGTACTCCTGTTTTCGCAAACAATCCTTTCTTAGAAAAGGATTTCCCTGAAAATGCAGACACAGGAAACACAAAAACAGCCTTAAGGGTTTTTGGCTTGACCCACACCTGGGCTTCTCCGGGCGGGCGGACACTCCCTTGACTGTCCTTGCCTGCAGGCTCATCTCTCTGTCTCTCCATCAACCCGTTTGTTTGATCACTCAAGAGTATTCGGTTTCAGTCTTGGAATTTTACTAGTAGAAATACCACTGTCTGGGCAGGAGGAGCCCCGAGCTGGACATCCAAGCCTTTCCATGACGCCGTCCCTCAAGGAGGGTTCGGCCTCCTTCCAACCACTAGGCCTGACTCCCCATTTCTCCTTAACACCTTGTTTTAAACTTACGGCAATACCTAAAGCTAAGATCCAAGACCTGAAATCGGAGAAAGGCAAGATTGCAGACTTAAGCATCGCCTAAATACCTTTCTTCCACTTTGAATCTGTCATGCTCCTCATGAAACCAGTCTGCCTAGAAAAGCCGGGACCCCAAATCTTCATTCATTCGTTTGTTCGTTCCTTTGCTTGTTCATTCGTTCCTGTAGTTTGTTATTTTATGTCCTGCCTTTCCACTTTACAAAATAGTGCTCAAGGCAGCATACAAGCATTTCAAAGATATGGACTCAGTCCACCAGATCCACCCGGGATTAAATTTTTAGAAGCCTTTGCATTCAAAGTGTGTGTGTGTGGGGGGGGGAGATGGCAACCACAAATGGGGTTCATTTTATTCCAAACCTGCCCCCCCACTGCTCTCCTCCATGTGGAATTTTTGTTGACTTTTAAAAAGGGGTTTATTGGGCTCCTTGACGGATTGAAAGCACCAAGTGGGTCCACCCCCAGGAGCCCACCCTGGTTTGCTTTTGGACCCCCCCCAGCTGAGCCACAGTTTGCAGGTGATTCTTACAAACAAGGAAGAGGAGGGAGAGGAGGGGTGAACCACGCACGGTGTCCTTGCATCTTCCGTAGGGCTTGGTCCCAGGGAGAAAAACATGTTTGTTTCCTCTGCTCTGTATTCAAACCTTGCCTGGTTTCTTGCTCCCGGGTTTCCTGACCTCTGGGGCTTGCCGGGGAGGGGGGGGCAGAAAAACAGACCTTGGCTCCTGGAAAGGTGGTGGTGGCAGACCGAGGACGCCCCTTGCCCCCTGACTCACCCGAGGGGATGAGCTGGAAAGGACGGTCGAGAGCCTGCCAACACCAGGCAAGACGGGGAATCAGGGCAGCCCAAACACCTTCCTGGTCCATGAAGGGCACCGCCGAAACCAGCACGTGGGTTTAGGGTGCCAGGGCAGTGTGAGATAAGCGGGACTGTGGGCCCAGCGGACATCTTAACTGCCCCCCCCAAATTTCTCAGGTTGTCCTGAGGCAGCTCAACCTCGCCAGGCCGTTGTGAAGATCCAGCGCGAGGGGAACCTGGAGTGCCAGCTTCCTCGCGAGACGTGGGATACGAGGGTCGAGGGAAGGAAAAGCTTCTCCACCTCTTCTTCTCGGGCAAATGCATCTGCTGTATAGGCATTGGTTCTCTTGGTTTTGATACCTCGATTTTACATCTTTGTACATTTTATATTTATCGAGCCTAAGGCCTATGTCTAATAAAATGCACAGAAAATGCTTACTAGATATTTTATTTTATTTTATGGCATCCTCACTTACTTTTTTAGTTGGTTAATAGTTATTTCAGTGCATTCTTCTGGGTGGTTTACAGCAAGTTGCAAACATTCTAATGATCCTATATTAAATAAGAACAGTTAAATTTGTCCGTTTAACAGTTAAACGGACTACTGTATTTAATATTTATTATTTTATTTATCGTAATTTTTTTACCCCCGCCTTTCTCCTTAGGAAGGACCTAAGGTGCTTCCATCATTAAAAGACAGTATTTAAATCTTTTTTAAAAGGGTAAGTAGAAAAATACTAAAAACAACCAAACAAGTACCACGCTAAAAGACAGCAAACAAAAGCAATACATTCAAAGCGACCGTCCATTTCAAAAACCCCACTGCCAGTCACACACAAAGGAAAGCTTGTCTGAAGAGGAAGGTCTTTGGCTGCCAGCGGAAGGACAGCCAAGACGGGGCCCCATTGGGCCTCCAGTGGGAGGGAGTTCCACTGTCTCTGGGACCAGCTACAGAGAAGGTCACCCCACAAAATAACAGTCCACTCCCAGCATTTGTCTGGGGCATTTAAGAGACATAGACAGCTCCCAGAAAACCGCACTGGGCCCTTCTGGACCCTGCCTCGATCCTTCTCCCCTCACTGAAGAGCAGTGTACAAACCTCTCCACCATAAACAAACAAATATAGAACAGGGACGCCTTTCTCAGGAAAGAGGTGGCTTATAAATAAAACATGTCTTGAGAAGCTGGATCTGGAGGGACAGAGGGGTGGGGGTGTCTCCTACGAGGCCGGAGACGGTCCACAGGTCCCAAGTGGTTTGTTTGGACGCAAGGTGACGGATCCCTGGTTTGATGGCTTCAAAGCAGATGGGCTTGACGAGGGGTCTGGTCCTGAAGAGTTCAGAGGTAATGGAGACATGCCCCCCTTGGCTGCTTATGGCAGGTGGGGGGGGGGATGGACATGTGGCATCCCGCCTCAGCATCTGGGCATGCCACGCCACCCCTTGGCACCGGGCCCAGTCTTTGCAAGGTGAGGAGAAGGGCTCCCCCCGAGCCTTCCCCCGGGCGCTGATAACGGCAAGGCCAAGGAGATACCAGTGGCCGATTTCAAGGACAGGCACTTTGCACGCAGCAGGTGGTGAAATGTTCTGGCATGTGCTGCTTTCCTGGAGAACAGGCTGGAGTCAGCAACGAGAGCCGTGCCAGGAGGGAAAACAGGGTGAACCGAGGGCTGGGAATGCCCTCCCGTTCAGCTCAGTGGTATGCCTTACGCTCATCAGTCTCCAGGGCAGTCCTCAAGATCTGACAAGATTCTTGGTCCAAGTTTTATCTTTTGTTGGCTGCAACTGATTTAAAACAGCCCTTATAAGAAAAAGCATTTTTAAACAACCCATTTCAGTTCCCAAGAACGAGAAGGCGGGCTGTCATCCAGTGGAAGGGAGTTCCCCTGTCTCTCTGAGCAGCCTCCGAAAAGCTGAATTGTCTGGGGAAGTGCAGCCCCATCCAATGGCGTCTTGCGTCCCAGTTCTTGGATCAGAATGCCATAAATGCACGTCAAATGACACCGAATCAGTTATGATGATGATGATGATGATGATGATGATGATGATGATGATGATGATGATGATGATGATGATGATGATTCTGTGGTCATTACAAAGTGACTTTTCCGGTGTAACAAGTAGCAGCTTAAAACTTAAAAGCAGCTTTGAAACATATCTCTTATGGCAACACTTTAAAACACTTGGAATCAACAGGATGTGACTTGTTAAGTCTATCTCATGTTGGTGTTGCTTGCTACCCTTTGTAACTATTGCAAAAATAAACATAAAAGCAAGGTAGCAGGCTTAAAACCCACTGGTTTATTTCACTGGGATACCACCCTCTTCCTTCCGCCCCGTGCTGGAACAAACCCACCCAGCTGCCCTTCTGGAATTTGCAACTATTTTGCTGAATTATTTCTTACCCAAAAGTAGTTACATGCAACTATTTTGCTTGTAACTAGTTCCTTCCGATCTCTGCTTCCCTGTCCTTTCTCTCATCACCAGATCTCTCTCAGCTTGCTGTGTGCAGATCGTGACGTTACTGGTTGAGAATAAATCTGGACTGTTGCAAATGGTTGAGCTCCTGCGGCCTAGTGGTTAGAGCATTTTATTAGCCTATCTTTGTACGTAAAGTTAGGTTTGAAATTCTTCCCTGCTTGTGAAACTCACTGGAAAAGCTCAGGCGAGATCTGCTTTCTCGGTGTGATTGTTTCTCGGATGGGGTGTGTGTTAAATGGGTACTCCGAGTGACGAGAGAAAAAGAGCCATAAAAGGCAGGAATTTATCGAACTGGAAGAAAAATAAGACCTCTGGTTTTACCTGCCGATTCAAGAATTTTATTGATCGCTTCATTACGTCCCCTTTCCAGATAAATCTCCTCTTATAAATAATATGTACATGAAAAGACCAAAAAAACAAAACCCACAACACCCCACATACACACCATAGATATAAACAAGAATAAGTTAATAATAAATAAGACAACAGAATAAAAAGATTTGAGAACAGTTATTAAAATATATATATAGTCTGAGGTCGAGGGTCTAGTAGGACCAGTCCATGATCAATCCTCCTCCCCACGATGCCCATCATCATCAGATGTCTGGGTGTGTTAAAGTGCTTATAGCTGAAAACTCAAGAAGGAGGGGGGAATTTAAGAAGCATCTAGGGTTCTTTCTTCCCTCTTTTCCCTCCTGCCCCATAGAACGGTGACCTAGTCAGCATGGAAACTGGCTTTGGTATTTATTTATTTAAACAATTTTTTTACCCCGCCTTTCACCTCGAAAGGACCTGAGGTGTGAATGCAAACAGCCCCTAAACCGTTCAGCATCTCCCTTTGGGGAGTGGGTAGGTGAGGTGGGGGGGGTTGGAAGGTTCCTCCAGCGATGGGGCAACAAGAAGAACCGGGTCAGGCGGCCGGGCCCCAAAAAGCACCGTTTCCCACGGTGGGTGGTGACCCTCGGGAAGCCCGGGAGGTCACCCAACAGGGGCCCCCGTGGGCTCCCACGGAGGCTCTTCAGGCACAGTGGCACCGGGTCACGATCATGTCCTCAAAGAGCTGGGTGACCACCCGCCCTTCGCTGCCGTAGTGCATCAGGACCATGGGCTCGTAGGCGGCCGGGACGCAGCAGGGGGCTGGGGTCTCCCCGGAGAGGCTGTGGAGCCGGGCCTTGATCTGGGCGTGCAGGCTGGCCGGCTTGTAGTTATGGGGGCAGGAGCCGTCGCAGAACTTCATGGAGTAGCTCCGGGGGGCCACCACCCAGTCGGACCAGCCGATGGCCTCGAAGGAGACCCTCAGCGAGCGCAGGCAGCATTTCCCGTCCTCCGTGGCACACTCCTCCTCCTCCTCCTCCAGCTGCCTGGCTTTCCTCGCTCGGCCGTGGCGCTCCCGGGCCTCCACCTCCAGCACCAGCGTCTCCCGCCCTGGATTCAGCCATGGGGCCGGGGCAGGAGACGGGACCTCCAGCCCCAGGCGGAGCCGTGATTCGGGGCTGGCCAGCCACTCTTCCACAGCGGCCTTGAGGTCGAGGGCTGGGGGGACCCCTCGAGAGGCCCGGGGCACCTTGGGGGTGGCTGCTGGGTCCCCCTCATCTGCCAGTCGGTGGACCTTCAGGGGCCCAGCAGGCCTGCTCTGGTTAGACTGGGGGGTGCCCCAAAGGGGAGGGAGGGAGGCTTGAAGAATCCTCAGCTCCGCCCGGAGGACCTGGAGGTGCCGATGGAGGTCGGCCGTTCTGGAAACCTCCAGGCGGTAGAGGTGCCGGAGGGGGCCGCTTTCGGAAGAAGAGGCTTCGCCGATGGGCTCCACTGCAGGAAAAAGGAGAGGAACGTCAAATCAACCTCGGTCTCACTCCCGGGAACCCAGTGCCACGACTCGCCCCACGTCGGCCACCACCAAGAGGTCCACACTCTCAAAGAGACTCGGAGGGCCAGCTTTGGTTCTCCAAGTTTCCTCCTGGCCTACCGAGTCCAACTGTGGCGGAATCGCAGAGGGGTGCCCTGAGGGTCATCTAGTCCAACCCCAGTTGATAAATCCTTGCTCACAAAAAGTAGAGGCGGAAAATGAGGGGGAGATGGAGAACGGGCCAAATCTTGCGGCCCCTTGGAGGCTAGGGGGATGGTTTTAGATCAGGCTAAACCTTAACATGGATAGTTCAGGGGTGGAGCCAGAGGTAGGGAGTTCAAAGCCCCTCCTTGACAAAGGCTAGACTGCGGGTCCCTTCCAGCTCTCCACTTCTAAGAGGATGATGATTATTTCCCCTCACCCTCATTCCTTTCCATTCTGAACATGCTCAGACAGAACTAACGCAACAATGCCTTTGGAAATTAGTAACTCCAGTTATGAATTGCATTCTTCATCATCCACCAACACAGCTTCTGTGCTGCTTTCCCAGACAAAGTTTTTTATCACGGCATTCCCCTGCTCTGCTCACTGAATTTTATTCACTGGGTCTTTTGTCAATACTGACTGGGTCTTTTCTCCTTTATTGTTCTACCACTTTGGGGTTTCCCCCTTTACCAAATAAAATGTGTTGAGGGGGAGAATGAAGGTCCACTTAGCCTGAGGATCCCTCGGCCATTTCTCACCCTGCTGTTTTTTTAAATTATTATTTGTTTATTGCAATGCTTGGTTTTCATGTTGTTTGCCCCTCTTGATTGAATACATTTGGGTTCCAGCTATTTGCAAAGCCACTGAGGTCGGGGGTGGGGGGGTTCTGTGCATGGAGATTCCTAACGAGTGAGATAAAAATTACTTAACAGCTCAACCGTCCTAGAGGGAGCTGGAATGGCCGTTTAAATGAAGCCTTGTGGCTGGCACTGGGCCTGTCAGGAGAAGGCAAAACCCCACTGGAAAAGACCGTGGTGCTGAGAGAAGCAAAAGGCAGCCGGGAAAGAGGAAGAGGAAATAGGAAATGGACGGACTCTTTCAAGAAATCCACAAGATTGAGTTTTGCAGGATCTGAGCAGGGCGGTTTTGGATAGGACTTTTTGGAGATCAGTAATGCACAGAGTCACTATAAATGAGGGAATGTGACGGCACGTAATGATAATAATGTACCGACGCTGCACAGACAGGCCAGGCTGAGGGCTCCATGCTAAGCCATGCTGGGCTTGACCGTTTGCACCAAAACTTACACATCTTTGCTAGAGAGTTTCCGTGCATTTCCCCTGAATGTCAGCAAAGAATTCTGCGCCCGTCCCTAAGCTATAGATCACAGCTTTCCTTAGGATGGAGCCATGGCCGTTAAAATGTGGAGAGGCACTCTGGAACTGTGGTGAGCGTGCCAGACTACCAGACACAGGGAGATCTGGGCTCAAATCCCCCCTTGGCCACGGAAGATCATTGTCAGGTGAAAAGGACAGCTTGAACCTCAAAAATCCCAGAAAGAGAGCAAGTTAAAAGTGGGGCAAACCAATATAATTTTGACGGGCAGTGAAGCTCGGACTTAGCACCAGGGACGTAAGAATTTTATCTGTAGCCAAATATTCCACCACAAACAGGGAACCTGAACTAAAGCATCTTCCCAGACCAACAGGTCCGAACGCTGTTCATCAAAAGCTGGCTAATTCATCGTTTCCTCCTTAATGGACTTTCTTTAGTAAGCGGGGGTGGGGGGGGAGAGACTCAAGGGGGAAGAACAGAAGTTTAGCAATGGGGGTATAAGGTTGTTTTGGTCCCACCTGATTAAAAATTCCCCCTGGAAGCATTTTCCCTTTCCAACCAGACCTTAAGGGAAATGTGTATTTCCTGCTCTTACAACATTTTCCTTCTAGATAGGTGGTTCCTTCAAAGCTCCATGCCCAAGGAATCAGGGCTGGCAAAGGAAGCATACACTCGCCTCCCCATGACCAGTCACCAGAAAAAAAAGTCAGTGACTGATTCAGAAAAGACTGCCTAAGGAGAAACAGAACGTCAGACCCTGGATGCCTCTCCATTCTGCCGAAGGGAACTAACTCCCTCCCTTCTTGGCTAGACAGGGTGGCCCAGCCGGTTTTGCAACCCGAGGCCCTGATCCATGCCTGCTCCTTGGGAGGTGGCTTCTCAGGAACCCGACCTGCATCCTCCGGCAGTGAGCTTAGCTTGCCATTGGCTCCCGCCCTCTGGAGCTGCTGTCCGACAAGAGACAGACAGTAGCTCACCATGTAGTGCTGGCTGCTAAGGGACTTAGTTCTTGGGAGCATCTCCCATCTGGGCCAGGAGAGGACCCAGAGAGGCATAGCTGCCGATCAGAGTTAAGAATATGGTTCTTAGACAGAAAAAGGTCCGAACTAGACTCCGGTGTCCGAGGAGGTGCTTAAAAAGAGAAGAAAAGTCCCACCAACCCAACGCCCGAGACTCGGACTGCTCCGTGCATATTGCCAGGGACACCACTTACGTTTCAGCGGCAGGCGATGGACACTCGTGGTCGGAGGCCGCTGAGTCTGGTTTGCCCGGAGCTGAGCCACTGTCTCCCGGTACAATCTCTGCATTTCTCGTACGGCGGCCGGACCCGGCGTCTGGTGGACGGTCGGCGGCTTCTCAAGGCCCAGCCTGGCCAGGATGTCCTGCTTCACCCTCTCCAGCTGAGCCGAATCCTGACCTTCCAGGGGTCTCGGGTCCACTGCAGAGAGGACAAGGAAGAGCAGCAGCAGCAGCAGTGGCAACCGTGGGCCCCGGGCGCTCAGGCGCAAGGCAGCCGGTGTGGTGCTCAAGGGGCGCATGGCGTGCCAGGCAGAGCGAAAGAGGGGGGGCCTTCTGCGGAGGGCTTTCCTCGTGGGCTGCGTGGAACCAGGGCGGGTGGGCGGGGGCTCCGGTTGCTCCTTGCCTGAGCCACCGAATGAATGAAACTAGCCAGGGAGGCCACGGTTTATATACTGGCACCTCCCTCTTGCATCACTCAAAGAAATAAACACACTCTGAGAGAGAGAGAGAGAGAGAGGGAGGGAGGGAGAGAGAGAAGGGGAAATAAAATGCACCTCAGGCTGATGTTTAGAGCGCCCAGGCTGGCCGAGGGTCAGAGACGCAACGTGCCACCCACCCACCCTTCTGGCTGTGCCCCATTTAAATCTGTGTTCAGGACAGAGCGGTCTGCCAAACCACACTTCTCCATGAGAGCAAAGTCCACCAGGAGCCCTTGCTGGGATGGGTCCCCAGTTTGGAAGCTGTTCTCGCATCCCTCTGGTACATAGCCCTCTGGAAGCTGGACTCGATGGGACACAGCAGGAGTCTTCTGAAATTGCCCAGCTAGCTCAGTGAAGCCTCCAGCTCAGAGGCAGTCTACCCTTGGAAGTAAGAGATCAGGGGCAAAAAAAAAACAACAACAAGAAGAAAAAACCAAAAAAAGTTAGGCTACCTCCATGGGACACTAAAAAAAAAAAAAAAAACAAGAAGAAAAAACCAAAAAAAGTTGGGCTACCTCCATGGGACATTTGTCAGCTTCCCCAGAGACCTTCTGTTGTGCCGTGGGAAGCCACATGATCTGGAGCAGGGGTGGATCCATGCCTCTCACTTGGTCTTGGACACAGGCAGGCTCTTAGTAGATTGCAAGCTAAAAACGAGCCAACCCTGTGATGCAGCAGCAAAATGGGTGAACGCGATCTGTGGCAGCATCCACCGAACCAGGGAAGCCACGTCCTTCATGGCCTATCAGGAAAGGCTGCTCACTCTCTTGTCTAAAGTGTCAGGCTGGTTTTTGTCATGAAAATGAGGCACGCTGACAACGCCACTTCCCACCTTAAAAGGAATCAGAGTTGTTTTTTTTCAGAGATAAAAGTCATCAACCGGGCATTATAAATGTTTCTTTCAAACATTCCCAATATAATTTGAGATTCCTGACTCAAATAAGGCGAGGAATTTGCTCTCAGCCCGTCCAGAGCAGAGGTAAGGGCCCAGGGGAGGGAACGAGATGGGCTTTGTTTTCCGCGGACAAGAATCTTTGAATCACGGACCCGATGGTGACGAGGGACGGACGGGAATCTAAGCAGCAGCAACTTGTGAATCAAAGGGGCGATTTTACGGGAGATTGCGTGGTTTCTATGTTTAGGAAAACCTCATTCCACACAATCCTGACTTGTTTTATGGCAGTGATAGGCTTATAAATCCTGCAGAGACGGCCAGGAGGTGGCCAAATATATTTCAGAAGGAACATTTCCAAACCCCCTCCAATTTGTGCAGATTCATGAACTGATCCAGATTGAAACTGACGCAGAGTTTTGAAACATTCAGAACGCCGGGTTTTTCCGAAAATCTTGATGACATTCCACAGGGGTTTTTTCTCCCTGCCCGAAAACCCTCATGACATTCTGGCACCGGGTGGATGCCATACCTCAGGCCAAGCGAGAAGAAGAAAATATATAACACGCTGTTTGAATTAGCAAACGCAGATAATTTAAGATCGGAGCAAGAGCTGTGAAGATTTGGAAACAGCTAAGGAGCAAAATATAAGTCCCTTCTGGTTTCCCCTGGGGATGGCCGACCTCCAGGCATCTGAGAGTGGCCCACAGCCCACGGCCCACGGCGACCCCTTGGAGGGCTACTCCTGGACCCCTCCCCAAATTGGTTTTCTTTTTTAAAGGCCCTTTGTAGGGGGAATAAACCCTCATGCCCTCTAGTGGCCAGAAGTGTTTTTCTTGCAATGTTTTAGGGATGGGGGTGGGCAGGGGGTTGGCCCCCTCAAAGGCCCACGTGGCTTTTCATACTCTCTAAAAGGGACTTTTTGAGATTTTGTTTTTAATGTAGGACATAGGGGAAGGCTGGGGGCCATGTGGTGGGCAGTTCCAAAGGTCAAATCCCACTACGGGCAATGGGGTATTTTCCACCTACCCCGTCCGTCACCTCTAGGGTCAGGCCATCTGTGACACTCTCCACTGGGATCCCGCTGGACACTCTTTGAGTAGGAAGGAAGGAACAAACTCCCTCAAAGTTTTGCACGCTTCCACATGCACGTGGAACACGTGGTCAACCCTCAAAGGCACCAAAAGGTCATGAAACCGGATTCCCCCTTTATGTTGTAAAAGGAGCCCAAGGGGAGAAAGAATCCTTTTCCCGTTTTGCTCCTTCTCCAAAGCCTGCCTCTTGGGACGCCCTTCTGGTCTCAGAGCACTGCCACGCGTGGCACAGACAGCAGGGCCCGGATTTCTCCATAGCGCCACGTGCAACTGGGGCGAGCGGGCGCCGGCAGGAGGACTCCTGGCAGCCAAGGAAAACCCGTCTTTACGGTTCAGCCACTTTCCCCTCCTGCTTTTGAGCAAGGGGTGACTCACGGGCTGGCAGGTTTGCAACAGACGGACAGAAACCTCAGATGGGGGTGGGGACCCAGCAGCTCCCAAGCCCAGGAGATCGATCTTCACAGAAGGGTGTCAGCCTCAGAAACTCACCGGTGAACAGTTTGCACAAATCCCTCCACCACGGATAGGGTAGATTATGGGTCTCCCTCTCTTACAAGCCTTCCTAAAGGTCCTCTAGTCTGACCCCTGCCTGGGCAGGAAAGCTGTTGCTCAAGCATTTGCTCAATAACTAAGTCACGGCTAAGGCATTTTCTGTCTCCTAAGCCATTAAAGCCACACGGTCACCCAGGTTCCTCCACTCCCCTCTCTGTCCATGGGCTGGGCCGTCCCAAAACTTTTCGCTGCTTGAGTCGGAGGACGAGAGAGCAAGCGACTGTGGGATTGCAGAAAAGAAAGCTTTTCACTGCACTGCTGGGAACTGGTTCCTTTTGTGGAATTCGTGTCTATTCTGCTTCGATTCAGTGCTGCAGTTTTTTTTTTTATTCCCCTTCTAGCCACAAACCTCCAGATCCGCTTCAATTCCTCAGCGAAAGTCTGATTCCCAAGGAATTAGGTCACTTTCAGTGTGTTTACATCTTCCAAAAGGGCAGCGGAACCCGGCAATAAAATGATGTCGAACACACACACACACAAAAGGTGTCCACTTCACACGGAACATAGCAGACACTCTTTGAGATTTCACAGAAGGGAAATTTTTTGGTTTGGATTCAGCGAACAGATAAACTCCGGCGCGGGTAAAAGAGAAACAAGATACGTACTTGGAATTCCTCAACGGAGCATCATCTGGTGCAGAAGGTCAAAGATATGGCAGTGACCCAACTCTGAGCTCAGCTCCAGCTTGGGCCTTTGTGGGTTGGCAAATGTGTGCCCCCCCAGAGGGTAGACTATGCTGAGAACAGGAGGATCGCACAACGAGCTTGGCAGGCCATGGATTCTCCTTGGTGGCCTGACTCAGTCACATCTGGGGGTGATTTCACTGCAGGTAGGCGAGGGGCCTCAGGAAGCCCCTTGGCCCGGCCTTTTATGCCACTGTTTAGCCTTGCTGGCATGTGCTTTAGGGACCTGGGCTCCGTCCCTGAGGGGGGCCAGCTAAGAAGAGAAGGAAAGGGGACGCTGGAACAGCAGCAGAGTGCTTCAAATCGACAGTCTTGAATGAAGGCTTGGGAGATCTGAGTTCAAATCCTTCCTTTGGCTCACCTTGGGTAGCTCACCTAGCCGGAAACCAAAACTGCCCGAGACAAAAAGATAACTTGACGGCACATAAACAGATCAAACAAACGGGCGGTGCTGAAGGCTGACACTGGCCATTCTCTCAAGCAGCCACTAAAAAGGTCCCCTTATTCCTTCCCCGGAGGGGCCACCAAACGGCTCGGTTCGGCTTGCTGGATCAGGGCGCCACCTGGTGGCCTCCGGGCGCAACACCCACCTTCCACGAGGGCTCGATCCTTTTTCCCTTCGCAAGCTGCGCCACTTCCCCTCATTCCCGGCCCAACACAGACTGTGGCTGTGGATGATGGGTGCTGTGGTCCAGCCACAGCTGGAGGGGCGCAGCTTTCCCCAACACCAGAGTTTTAAGCAACTGTTTTGCGTATGCATGGGGCCGTGGGGGTGGGGGGTGTTTAAAATTTCCAGCAGCCGGAAGGAGGTTTCTTAGACTTTCCCGGGAGACAACCAGAATCAGAGGAGAAAACCCTGGAAAGCAGTTAAAAAAAATAAATAAATAAAGATCCGCTCCTTTTGTGAAACATATACAAGGCAAGCAGAATCGTCTTTTTCGGTGGCCCCTTGTGTTCGAGGATGCTCGTGCTTTGCAGACTTGGAAGGAGGCAGGAAAGGACTTCTCTCCCCTCCGCCCCACCTTGGAGGCCCATCTTTCCCTTTTAAACGGCCTCCCACACCTCCGGCTGAGTTGCTTCCCCAGACGGGTGAAGACTTGAACTCAAGAGCTTGCAAGGATTTGAAGGCGGCGCTCCTGTCTCCCCTCCGTCTGCTTCTCTCAAGGCTCGCCTTGCCCAGTTCTTTCTGCCTTTGCTTCTTAGAGGGCTTGGTTTCCAGCTCCCCTCCCCCCCCAATCATCCTCACTGCCCTCCTCTGAACTGGCTCAAGTTTCACAGCATCCTTGGGGTGGCCAGAACTGGACCCAGGACTCTGGGTGAGACCTCACCAATCCCGAATAGAGGGGGACCATTATAGGATTCGGAGACTCCCTTTCACCCATGATAAAATCATATTCGCCTTTTTTGCCGCCTCATGGCCCTTTCGGCTCCTGTTCAGTTTGGGATCTATGACCAATCCCAAGATCCTTCTCTCTCGTAGCACGACTGAGACCAGTCTCCCCTATCTGGCAAGGGTGCATTTGGTCCCCCCCCCCCATGTGTACGTCTTTGCACTTATCTCCTCCCCGCCGTTCTCTGCCCCCAGACTTGAGCCTATCCAGATCGCGTTGAATTACGTTCCTCTCTTCCAAGGTTATCAGCTTTTCCACCCAATGTTGTGTCATCCACAAAAATCCATCACCAGCACTATCACCATCATCATCCAGGTTCTAACCACTGCCTGCAAGCAGTCCAACCAGCACACTTTGGCTGCTGTGGTATCTTTGTGTGGCAACCACATAATCCTCCGTCCTTCTGTAGCAGAGTTTGTGAAATTTCACACGAACTCCGTGGCTTGGTAGAGGATTGTGCTCGAGAGTCGAGAGGATGATCTCGTTAATCAGGCCCTAATTATGCAGGAAGAGCCCGTGGGAGCCACTTTTATGATATTTAAAGGTGGATGAACTCAACACAAAGGAGGAAAAGGAGACAGGGAAACAAAAAAACCAGAAACATTTCATTTAGAACAGATTAAATAAAATTAGTTTAATGCAACTTTTTTTAAAAAAAAGTTTAGGCAAGTGCTTGCTACTCGAAAGAGAGAGAAGACATGGAGAAACAGCTGTCCCCTAAAATTAATTGGTTCGCAAAAACTGAAAAAATCATAGAATTAAATTTCCTAGCTAGCAACATTAAGGAAGAGGGAACGGACAACAACACACAATGGCCTGCAGCGATCATGGAAGGAAATTCCTGAGGCGATGGGAGCACAGTTGAAATGAAGCACAGTAGGACCCCCATATCTGTGGGGAATGAATTCCAAGCCGGCCCCTGTGGATACTAAAAAAATGTGGCTTATAGCTCTCCATAGCAGTCTCTGGCTCCCTCTAGTGGCCAGCCCTGGTATTTTTATCTTTAGCAAAGTAGATTTCCAGAATTTTCCTTTACATATTTTCAGACTGTGGATAAATGAATCAGCAGATACCGATTCTGCAGATACAGGGGTCCTACTGTATTGCACTCCTGGGGAGAGGACTATCTCCTGTCAGGTACCCCTTCGCCTATTAGCTCCCATCAAGGCACTAGCAAATCCAGAGAAGTTTGTTGTGCTCAGTGATTTTTTCACTCTCACTCACTCACTCACTCACTCACTCACACACACACACACACAGAGGGGAGGCTTACTTCTGCAAAGAGGCCTTCTCAGGTGTTATAAAGAACAGTGGCCGAATCCTGCTGCTCCCATTCAGGGACTCTTGCTCCCCGTGGCCAAGACAAGTCACCCCAGCAATTTTGAGAAACCCATAGAGGAGGTGGAGATGTCTCCTGAACTGGTAAGAACGGGAAGTCCCGAAAGGTGGAGAGGTTCCCCCCATGTCTGTTTTTATAATCAGTGTTACACAGTTCTGGTTTTATTTACCCCATGTGGATGCTAAAAACCACGGATAACAGCAAACCATACAGTATTTTAATAGCACACCCTACACACAGCCTAGTCTCTGGCCCCCTCTAATGGCCAGCTCTGGTAGCTTCATCTTTAGAAATATAGATTTCTAGGGGTTTCCTTTAATATTTTTCTGACCAATGGATAAGTGAATCAGCAGATACTGATCCCATGGATACCGGGGCCATGCAATCATAATGAATCAGCGGATACTGATCCCATGGATACCGGGGCCGTGCAATCATAACAATCTTTGAATGCAGAGCTGGAAGGGACCCCATGCAATCTTTGAATTGCAGAGCTGGAAGGGACCCCATGCATGGATCATCGAGTCCAGACCCCCCTGTGAAGGAGGCCCAGTGAGGAGAATTGAACTCCCAACCACTACCTTCCCAGCCGAAAGCCTAAACATTTAAAAACAAGGTGAAATCAAGTAACAAGCTGGACGTCCTCAGATGCTCCTAGCTGGAGACTCGTTCAAAATTAAGACTGTTTTTAAAAAACCGAGGGCCTATGCCCGTTAGATAGGCTGACCTCTTTCAGAACGAAAATGGGGGGGGGGCTTCCCAGTTCACAGCCACTTAATTATGATGGGTTTAACAATAAAACAAAATAAGCCCTTGGAAATTAGGCTGGCCTTTACAGGGACCCCAACGACTCACTTTCCCCCCAAAAAAGACCTTTATGCGCCACGGGCTGTGGCTACCTTTTATCCCTCCCCTCGCCAGCATGCGCACACACACACAAACACACAAGAAAATCCATTTAACAAAGGGTCATTAAATAAAATAAATTACTAACCAGAAAGAGGAAAAGTTTGGCAACCTACGTTTGGAATCGGGATGGTCGCACGGAGCCGGGGGCTGAGTTACTGGCCCCGACACTTACTGGGAGATGATTTTTTCCCCCCCAGTTAAGACCTGCTCAAGCGGGCCACATCCCACGGTCTTCTCTGCCCGGCTTCCGCTGGGTTTTGCAAGCTGAGAACCACCCTGTGGCCGCTCTCACTGAGAGTCACTAAACACGGGACCGGTCCTCGTTAGAAACAGAATTTGATTCCGAACCCAGAGTGACGTTGATGACGAGAAAGACCAGCCAAGCGCTAAAAGGGATTTGAAGACCATCGGGATCCTCTTCCCCTACCCCTTACTTTAAAGGAAAGGTATCTGGGATGAAGTCAATAGCACAGCCGAGGCCACGCCACGCAGTCCCACGGCAGGAACGGCTTCCACGCATTTCCAGCCCAAAGAAGCGGCCGGCAGCCCTAAAATCCGGGCATTAAGAGTGAAATCTCCACACGGGCTAGCTAGTAAAATTAAAACAGAACAAAAATGACATTTTAAAAAAATCTCAACAACGGAACGTTACACCCGAATCTCAACCTGTCCCCAAAGTGCGGTGTACATTTCTGCAGAGTTGTGCTAGGGATGTGTTTGTGTGGGGGGTGTTCCTCTCCCCCCTGAGCACCGAGAGCGTCAAAAAGGGGGGGGGACCTGGGAGATCACCCCACTGAAAAGCAAGGGGGTGGCCACCTTGAGCCCAGGATTCGCAACTCTGGTGCAAAAGGATGAGGAGTCCGGATGGGTCTTCGCTCCCACCTCTCAGCAGAGTTTCCAGAGGATGCCCCCCACCCCTGCCCCCCCAAATACAGCTGGATCACTGAAACGTCTCACAGGTGAGACCCCAAGATAGGGAGAGGGGACTCGGGAGACCTCCGAGCAGGGTCTACCTTTTTGAGGCACTGGGAAAGGAGGGGGGGGCTAATGGAGGTGGGGGGAAAGAAGGACCCCAACAGCTCCTAAAGCAAGAGGCAGCTTTTTGGGGCGGAACGCTCCAGAAAATGTCTGCAAAAAAGAGCAGGAGCTGCTGCAGGCTTTGTAGGGGGCCCCCGCCCCGCCCCAGAGGTACATGGTTCTCCCGATGGACGGCAAGGCAGCAATTCTGAGACACCTCCGAGGGATTTGAGCCGAGGGGGCGGACGACAAGACTCTTCTGCCCCCCGAACACCCAACCCCCCTGTGCCGTTGCCAACAGAAGCACGAGGACCCTCTGAGATGCATGCTTTATCGGCCGAGTTTTTGATACAGCATGGGGCCAGTCGGACCCGGTGAGTTTCAACCTCCTTCCCCGGGGTTTCCCCCTTTCCAGCCACCACGACCGTCACTCCTGCTCGCTTCGAGCCGCCAGCTTGGCATGGAAGGGCTGGCAGATGCTGTCCTTTCGGCCCCCAGAGGCCACCGCGGTCAAGAGCGGAGCAAGCTTCGTGGCCCGGGGCGCGAGTGGCTTGCACACTTGGGGGTTTCTGTCCACAGGGGAATTTCAGCAGGAAAACGTACTACCGGCAAACGGGTTCAAGAAGCCGCCCGAGCCGGTGGGTTTGCCAGAGGAAGCGAACGGAAGGAGAGGGGCCGTTCCTCGGAGCTGCGCCAGAGGGTGTCAGTTCTGTTCTCAGCGGCTCCCCAAACCCGCTGCTTTCCACGCACCCCCACCCCAGGAAGAGTCCGAGGAGACGTCCAGAGCGTTCCTGGGGCAAGTGCCATGGAGGAGGGGGGGCACCGGCCAGCCCTCCGCCCCGGGCTCAGTGCTGGTGGTGGCAGCTGATGTTGTTCTCGGTGCTTTCCAACACGACGAGCATCTCCTCGATGATGGCCTGCAGGGCCCGCCCCAGCTGCTGGGCGCTGTAGGGCTTCCCCAGAGGAGGCACGTGGACGAAGGCCGAGCGGCCGCGGCTCTGGTAGAGGGACATGTAGTATGTGAAGTCACAGAGGTAGCTGCAGACGAAGAGAAGGCAAGGGAGCAACTCAGCCACGGGGTGGGTGGAGAGAGAATGGGGGGGGGGAGACACACCAGGAAGGTGGTGCTGAAGATCCCAGCGCCGGCAGGAGCCAGCGATAGATCCCTCCACCTTAAGATCCCTTCCGATGTGGGGTGGGTGGGTGTCTTAAAGGATCGGGCCCTCTTGGCTGGCGCTCCTCTCATTGGGAAGGAATGCCCCCTCCAAGATCCACCTGGCCCCTCTTTTTCTGGAGATTTTCAAGACATCTCAAAGAACTTTCTCACTGGGTGATAGCTAACCTTGCTCACTGGCTTCTTTTTCTGTTTCAGACCCGCTATTCCTGCCCCCCTTGTCACGGCTGCCCAACCCCGGTTAGCACTGAACAAGAACAGAGCCGAAGCAGCCAACCACAACAGCAGCAACACCAAAATATGCCACCCCAGGAGTAAAACCAGCACCAACACACACACCCAACTACTCTGTTTCTCCCCTTAACTTCCAGGGTGAAAACCAGCCTGTGGTGCCAGGGCGGCTTGCTTCTGTCCCCCCGCCGCGCTTCTCCCCGCCCTCTCACCCAAGCCCCGTACCGGCCAGCGTCCTTCGAGACCGTGATGGTGACGTCCAGCCCGAGGGCGGAGACCCTCTTATGCACGGCGTCCATGTCGATGACCGAATCAATGCACTCGGGGCCTCCTTCAACGCAGCAGTGGGAGCCCGGGCAGAAGCGGCAATTGTCCAGGCCCCGGTAGCCCGCGTTGTGGCCGCATTTTTCCAGCGTCACCGTGGTGGCCATGCCGGAGAGGCCCACGTGAACCACGAGCTAGAAGAGAAAACCCAGAAAGGCTCAGAAAGGGGCGGCCGGCCTTCCACGTTGGAAAAGGCCGAGGGCCTGAGATGAGGGCGGGTTAATCCGGGTGGCAAGGTGACCATCGTAGGGGGGAAAAACAATAACCCCTTCATTTCCACTTGCACTGGATTCAAATCCTGGCTAAATCCGGAAAGCCTGAGGCAGCTCACAGCCAGCTCGTCTTTCTCCACATTGCACCTCCCGAAATCCTTTCTCTCCCCCCCCCTTTCAGCCTTCCCCCTTCCACAACAGAGCCAAGGCCCCAATCAGGAGCTTCTCCCGGCCTTTTTAATGTTGATATGATGGATGAGAATCAGCCAGAGAAGGGAAACCATCTTCTCCCTGTTGACATGACTAACCTGTACGTGGCTCATGCACGACAAGGACACGTGGGCAGTCACACAGGGCTATCGGGGGGGGGGAGAACACACACGTCCTGGGCTACCAAACCCCGTGCGGCGCTCCGCGTCCAGCGCTGGCTCCCCTCGCTCCTTACTCACTCACTTGGGGGCTGTGCTTCTTCCACAAGGCAGGAATCAGCCGCTGCACCGCCTGGTACTCTACAGGAATCTCGTAGACGTGGAGATCCACATCTTTGCCGAGGCCGAGTTTTTCCAGTTCCTAAAAAAGAGAAAGCGGGTGGGGGGGGGAAGAAAAAGAGAGAACTGCGCCCCCTCCGCCCAAAGAGTGGGAAGCAGCACAGTCAACATCCACACACCAAGAAAGGGATATTTTGATCTGGAGGATGTTTAGCTCCGATATCCTCAAATTTGGAAAGAGCATTAAGGACATCAGCTAAATCACAATGCCTTGGTGTTCAGACGTCAGACCCGTTCTGGGAACAAATAGTCTCTCCCCCCCACCCGAGAATCTCCAGGTAGCGGCACCCCCTTGTGATCTTATCCTTTACCATCTGACAGGCTCCTGTAGATCGTCATCATCCTCATCACCTTAGAGCTGCAGAGCTAGAAGGGACCCTATAATAAATCATTGAGTCCATGGGGCTCCCATGCGGGATTCGAACTCACAACCTCTGGCTCCCCAGCCAGAGGCCTTAAACACTGGAGCTCACCAGCTGTTCTGGACTCCTCTGTGGCTGTCCTGACCCGTTATCCGGCCTGTGGCCTCCTCCATGCCGCCGGAGGGACGGCTGAGGATTGTCCACCTCGCCAACCGTTGAGCGCTCTCTTTTCCAGCGTTAGGAGGCTTAAAGCAAACCTGCTACCCCCACCCCCCCGGTTCATGGATCGGGTGCAAAACCCCCCTGTCGGGTGTCCCTCTCTGGGCACACCCGACACACAGCGAGTACAAAAGCGTGCACGCACGCATCATGCACCACAGAGCGCAAGGCAGGCGGTTGGCCCAAAATCTCCTTTACCGTTCTGGGCCATTCCATGAAAATCCGTCGCAAAAAGCACGGATCCTCCCCAGCCAAAAACAAGCCAGCAACCCCACCACCACCACCACGACCACGGTTTTGGCACCTTCTCATTTTGCAAGTGGGGGATTTCCTCAGCCAGCGAGTCGCCTCCCACTCGTGGTGACCCTCCCCGTGAGCGCTCTGCAATGCAGCCCTGCTCAGCATTTGCAAACTGAAACGGCATGGCTTCCTTTATGGAGTCCATCCATCTCACATGGAGGTCTTCCTCTTTTCCTGCTGCCTTCATTCCTTCACTGGAAACTTTGCCTGCTCAACACCTGTTCTGGTTGGTCGAGAGCCTCTTATATTAGCCACACTTTTCCAGATAAGAGTGCATTGGACTGAGTGTGCCTCTCTCTCTCTCTCTCTCTCTCGGCGTGTGTGCGGCTCTCAGCAGATGGCCGAGCCCTCAGGGACCACTAAGTTTTCCCCTCCTTCGCCCCCAGCCGGTGGGGGTCTTGCATCCCAAGTAAACAGAACCACTCCTGATTCTGTTTTCAGAAAAGCCACCCTGGCAGCTTAACTTCAAGAGACACGCAAAAACCTCCTGGGTCTTTCCAGAAGTTGGAATCTTCTTGAACTTTGGGCAATCCAAGAGGATTTTGAATACATAAGGCTTAAAAGTCGAAAAAGGCGGTTGCAAACGGAGGGAAATTCCAATTCCTCCTCCCCCCCCCCAAAGCAGCTGCTTTTACACTCTCTTGCAATCCAAGAGGATTTTGAATACATAAGGCTTAAAAGTCGAAAAAGGCGGTTGCAAACGGAGGGAAATTCCTTCCTCCTCCCCCCCCGCCGCAAGCAGCTGCTTTTACACTCTCTTGCTGGCGGCAGATGCAGACCCCACCTCTTCTCTCCACCCCCCCACCCCCACCCCAGATCAGAATTCACCTGGGAGCCAAGGAAAAACACCCCGCATATGTCTGTGCAGGAGGAT